TTTTTTCACTTCAGCAGGTGGGTATTGTAGCTTATGCTCTAATAAATTTGTTAGTCTCTAAGGTGCCACAAGTACTCCTGTTCTTTTTGCGGATACAGACTAACACGGCTGCTACTCTGAAACCTATCTAAAAAGTGAGTGTACCACATGAATGCTGATCCCTGCCCCCTTCCTTGATCTGTTTTGATTATCAAGGAAATGATCTGTTGATCCTTGCCCAGAGAAACTCGTCCCTTGAATGGGAGAAGTTAGGCGCCACTTGTCGTATCCAGAGAGCCCATCCTCCAGCTGCAGCTAACACCATTTGTGTGCTATTAGATCTGCAGCAGGCATGTGTGATACAGTGTGCATGCTTCCTAGGCTTATTAGTACCAAAAGCACATACTCTGTAAGATGCACACTTAGGGTAGCTGCCTCTTAGCTTCCTCTTTTGCCACCAAGCTGAGGTACCACTTTAGTGATCTGATGCTAAACCAGCAGCCCCAAGCTTTCCTGCCCTGTTCTACTCCTGGAGAGAGTTCATCTCTTTCCAAAATGTCTCATGTAAAAGCTACCCACCCCTCCATTCTTCTACAGAAAGATTGCCTTCAAATTGTGTCTTCCTGTCTTAGTTTATAAGTAATGTATATATCACATTTAGCGAGCAGGCTTATTTTACTATTGGTAGTCCACTCAACTTTGGGTGGCTTGTATTTCTGGGAGTTGTTTTTAGGAATCCATCTCTTTGAACCAAAACCACAAATGTATTTCTTGTGTAACAACAAATACAACTCCTATTAAAAAAATAGAATAGTAGTCTACAGTGTTCCCAAATATTATATGTTACAATAGCAGTACTTCAATGTTTGGGACCTGTAGTATTATAGTAGTGAAATAAAGTTAATATGCATGCTCAGATGAACAATTTATTTAATTTTGATAAGCCCTATGTATTCAATATTGCCATGTGCTTTGAGGAACTTTCTCCCTGTTCTGTCTCTCTAAATATATATGTTTCTAAAGTCTTTTCCTTGTGTCTTTCCTACCTAGCATCATCCTCTCCTTGTTCATTTTCTGTCCAAAGCAAAACCCTTCAGAGCAAATCTTTGTTGAATTCCTACTACTCAGGTACTAGTGCCAGATTTTATTTTATTTTTTTAGTTTTCTTTCTTTCTTTTTTTTTACATTTCCCAATATGACATATGGACTGAGTCTTCTGAATGTTGGATACGGCTAACCTTGTTTTCATTTTTTTAATTTGTTTTCCTCGTTGATCTTCTGTTGATTTCCATTGATCCGTGTCGTGTGGGTGACCGGAATTCCATCTCAAAGTATCATCAGACACTGTTCCATCGACTGCGCTGCTAGGTAAGAAGACCGGTATGGTGCACTATTCTCCAGTGGAGGAAAAACATTTATTGCATCTGAAAATGACTCTAAGGGACACTGTCAAGTGGTTTAGGCTCCAATATTACAACCCTCCTTTGGATTGATCACCACTTTGTTATTGCAGAAGCTGAAGCAACTCTAAGGTTAAGTGTAGTCCCACAACCAAAACAGAAATGTGACTTCTCCTTAGAACTGCTGTTTGCCATTATACTGGAATAACGTGATGTGGATACTTAAATAAAAAGTAGGCCCAAATAATTGTATATTTCAGTTCCATTCAAAACGCACACAAAAATGAAAATTAGTGAAATCTTGGAAAGTGGACAAAATTGATCAGGGAAAAAAATTACACTATCTTCCTTATTAAAAGGAGAATAAAAGACAAGATTTGAGAACCTGAGGGGTGTCAGGTGCCTCTTTTATGTGTAGGGTGTGACATGATGGGCCAAATTTCCATCCATTCTCCAATTTTGGAAACCATTTTGGCTCATGTAAGTGATTGTGTCTACACAGCTGACACACACATGCTTTGTATGTGAAGATCAGATCTGAGATCCCCAGCTCATGTGCATAAATGAGTGTTCGCATATTCAAAATTGGTTGGAGCCTGCTTCTTTGGATGCAATCAGTTATGAGTGCAACAAGTTCCATGCAGAAATCAGGGGCTGAGCTTGGGAAAGGGTGACTTTCATACTAGGTACATTGAGAACTGTAAAAGCAAGGGAAAAATCTCTCCACTTGTAATACATTGTCCTACTCTGTCTGTCATGCACCAAACTCCCATTGATCAAAACTTGGATACCATGGTGCTATACATAAACCTGAAGCAAACCAAGATTAATGTCAATGGGAATTTGGTACAAAACGAGTACTGAATATGCAGTAGAAAGTACAGATCACAGAGGAGAATTTTGCCTATATTAAGAGAGTTTTCACTGAGGTAAAGCCAAGGGAAAATGCATAATGGTAATTTTATTTTATGAAAAGAGACTCTATAGGCCAAAGTTTTCAAAATTGGATGTTAGATATTACCTTTCAAATCCCTGTTTCAGCACTTGAATAAAAGTGACCTTGTAAATGTCAGAGTAGTTGAGTGCCATGACTCCTTTTGACTTTAATAGAAATCATTAGTGGTCAGCACCCCTGAAAATCAAGCCACTTTTATTTAGGTGCCTAAATACCAGTCTAAGTAGTCTAGCTTTCAGGTATCCAACTCTGAAACTTTCATTCTTCGGAGTTTTAAAAAGAATATGCTGCCCCATCAAATTAACAAAGAGACAGCAGAATGGTCAGAAGAAACTTTTAAGCTGGCTAAAGGAGAAAGAGCTATTCAGAAACTTATTACGGGTGTACCCTTGAATACAACAGTAATAATAGCCTACCAGTTTTGGATCTCCCTTGAGGACGCCTGTGCTTACTGTGTGTGGAATTTGAAAAAGGCAATTCCTCTGCTATGAATCAGAAAACAGATATGTGGAAGATCAGAATCTACCCAGTGGTATTTATCAGACCTGTCATTTTGGATTATCTGCAGTAACTTTTCCCTTCCAGACACAGTAATCTACTGCAGCTGTCTTAAACGTTACCCTGAGCAGGTAGTAGCCCAGTAGTTAGACCAGGAAAAAATTACACGCAAGCACATGAGTGCACTGTATTACACGGTAACAGCAAAGGAACAAAGAGAGGCTGGAAGAGACTGTCGCAGTACGTAAATTTATCATGCAATCTGTTACAATACTGACTTTGGGAAGAAAGGGTTCTTTTTCCAGGGGGAGAATGTGTCCATTTCCCAGTCGGGTTGTATTTCTTAGTTTCCCAAAGACAAAATGTTGTCTAAGAGAAATCTAAATGTGGATTCATATCACAGTTGTGCTCCCTACACAACACAAGGCCTATTGCTGCAGTATACTGGGAGGTGCTGTCCACCCTCAGCTCTGCACTTCGCATCTGTCAGAACAGAAGCCCCTATTTTGCTGGAGCTGTTTTCACACCTGTATTCTGGGTAGTGAGCACAGTGGTCTTGTTAGGACAGCTAAATCACTGTGTGACTGCACACTTCTTAATTTGAGGCTAAAGGGAAGATTATATATGACTTGATCCAGACTTCCTACAGGAAAAAAAACAAAGGCTTTCAAAATCCCAATGTTTAGAGAAAAGCAATAATAATTATTAAGAATCAAATTGTTCTTGTATTTTACATCTTCAACCCACTTTAAAGCTCTTAACTAACTAATGTTTACAGCCCACCTATGTGGTGGGTATGAATTACCATTTCCATTTTACAGATGGGAAACTGAGGCACAAAGGTTAAAACCATGATTTTCAGAGATGCTGTGAACCCACAGTTCCAGCTGTAGTTAAGAGCCACAGGTAGTCAACCCCTCTGAAAAGAAGGCCTTTAGCAACTTGCTCAAGGCTGCCTGGTGAGTTGCGGACAAAACCAGAATCACAACCCAGGAGTAGTTCTTCAAGTATGTGTCAGTGTGGTATCCCACAGTAGGTGTGTATGTGCCCCAGACAGATGAGACCAGATATTTTTGAATAGCAGTGTCAGGCCCATGCTTGCACCCTGTGCTACCTCATGCTCCTCTATGAGGGCACAAAGGGTGGGATGACTACAACCCTCTTACTGCCCCTGGCAGCAAGAAGGAAGCTAGTGAGTATTCAGTCTGCTATATGATTGCTTTGGCTACATTTCCCAAAAGCTTAGTCCACTCCTCTGAGATACCTCAGAATTACCTTCGTTCATTTATTCTTCCTATCCAGGTCTGTTCTGATGTTTGTCAAACTAAAAACTGCTTGCAAACCCCTCTGGATAGCTCCCCCTATACAGGTTGTTAGAATGGTGCACTCAAACCCTACAGACTTCAAGCCTTCTCCATCCTGTGATGAGCTAATTGCACTGAAAGAGAGGCACAGCAAATGCCTATTCTTCTTGGGAGAGTCTCACATCCCAAACAGTTGCTCGATCTGCCTCTCCTTCTCTGCAAGAACCTGCAACTTGAGGGATGCGATGCTGTACCTCCATCTTCTGAAGCAGTGTGTGCAAATGGCATTGGAGCCAGGAGATTTGACCTCAAAGATGTGTCTAACAATCAAGCCCACACATTGCAGCATTCCATCTAGCAGGCGGGTGACTTTGAAGACGTCTGTAGAGCAAGTGGCACAGAAGCCATCAACACCCCCAAATTTGACATCTCACACGTTGGACCCAGTAGGCTGAAAAGGGCAGCCCTGCTCCTTATAAATGAGTCATCCTAGACCCAGCAAGAACCTCGTGGCAAATGCCAGACACTATTCCAGCAATAGCTACATGTGCCAAAACCTGGTACCAGGAAACACTTCCAGTTTTGATTACTTTGACTCCCAACCGGACCCTGACTCCCTGGTGGTCTCAACTGCTCAGGAGAAGTCAAGACCCACCAAAAACATGCTGAAGAACAAAGATCCCAAATGCTATGATCCGTCTGGAAGAAAGGCATACTCATCAGCCTCGCTCCAGTTGAGAGTGGCCAGCTGTCAGGCATTGCTGGCCAAATATGACTTTTTGACATAGGATAGGGTGAAATCCTTCTTGGCCAAACACCTTCACAAAAACAGAGGAGCTGAAACACATTATAAAAGAAGACCAGCTCATAGCCATGTACAGGCAGTGATGGAGGCCTCTGACACCGAGGCCAAGTCTGTGACCACTGTAGTGGCCATTTGTAGAGTGTCATGTCTCCAAGCTTCAGGTATCCCTCCTAAAGTATGAACCAGGATTGAAGACTTGCCCTTCGAGGGGTCAGAGCAGTTCAGTGAATGGACTGGTAGGGCCCTATACGCATGGAAATATTCCAAAGCAGCCCAATGCTTTCTGGGGATCTACATTCCTCCACCCTATCGAAGGGCATACCACCCTCAGACATTGCATCATGAGAGACCGCACACCACAGGGTACCATGGACAAATGGAGGTACCTGGCCAGGAAATGTCCTGGTAAAACAAAGGGCATCGATCCTTCTCCACCTTCTGGGATGACCCATTAGCAAATTTGATGGGTTGGCGGACAGCTGTATAGAAACCTTGGGAAGCTGCCTCATGCCATACCACCGGACATTGTCTGTTATAACATCAGCCAGATGGCTTCCCACTGAATGTAATGAAAGGGTTACCCTTCTCAGTCTCTTCCCCAACAATGACACTGGTCACAGACACATCAGGGGCAGGGTGGAGCCACTTGCAAATGCCAGGTTTGTGATCTCAGGACAATCTATAATTACATATGAACATCTCGGTACTGAGAGCCACTAGACTGGCTTGCATGGCATTCCTACCCATCTTTCAAAATGCCACAATGCAGATCCTGATGGTCAACACGTCAGCAAAGCACTATATAGACAAGCAGGGAGGCACTCAATCATTCCCTCTCTACCTGGAGGTAATCGATTTCTGGGAATGGCACCATCAGCATTGAGTCATTCCAGTAACTCTGCACCTACCAGCGGTCAGCAATTACCCGATAGACTTCCTAAACAGGAATGCAATAGCCAGCCGCAAGTGGTCACTATGGAAATCCATTCTAGAACCAATATTCTGCTGGTGGGGAACTCCCACCATAGACCTTTTTGCCAGGCTGGACAATGCCAGTGCAAGGACTTCTGTTCCAGGGAAGGTGTGAGCCTCAGCTCCCGTCTGGACACCTTTGTGCTTTGTTGGTCTTAAGGACTACTCTGTGCCTTCTAAGCAATCCCCCTGATCCCCAGGATCATATCCAATATTAGACAGAACAAAGCTGTAGTCATTACGATAGCCTCTTAATAGCAGAGGCAATTTTGGCTGTTGGATCTCCTACAGGTATCCAGCCAGCTCTCCATATGCCTTCCCACCTGTCCAGACATGATCTCACAAAACCAGGGTCAAATATTGCACCAGGACCCTCAGTTGTTACATCTGACAGCCTGGATATTTACTATGAGCAAGCCCAACAGAGATTGATC